GGGAGGGGGGGGGGGGGGGGCTAATAGTCTGTCATTAAAATACAGTACAAGTGCATATATACATGTATCATATATATCTAAGATATATCTGTTCTGGATATGAGATGTCTTATATAATCTAAGGGTGACCGGGTAGCGCATTTGCCTTTCACCGCGGCGGACGGGGTTCGATTCCCCAATCGGACGTGAAAAGGTATGGGGTCACCTGCCCGAAAACGTGGGTTTACTCCGGGTACTCCGGTTTCCTCCCACAGCATGACCCTCCGTGCGCTAAGATCCGGGCAAACAAGTGTGATAAGTATAAATTATAAAACGTTGTTTCATATTAGTTATTAAGGTTTGGGCGTTTTTTGTCCCGTCACCTACTGTAGTCACAAGGAGAACGACATTGCATTATGAAATGCAGTCTATGGTACACCTTCTCAGGAGGGTGTTCAATACATGTATTGTAACATGTATAAATATTTCTATCTTATGTCGTTTTAATAAAAACGGCCATTTTCAATCTTTAAGTCTTCCTGTTTTTTATTGACTATTGTACTATTGCATAGCTTGCTGCTTGACTAATAGGTGCGATCCATACAACATAAATACATGACCGATATGCTCTTTGAAAAAATGTGACGTTGGCTTTTCAATAATTGTCCCTCTTTATATGAGACGATATTGGTGGAAAGTGTTATGCAGCCCGTACACAGTGTGTAACTGCACTGAGTAGAACTAGAAACAACGGTAGCTTTGTATCAGTGATCCACCCGTACACAGTATGTAACTGCACTGATTAGAACTAAAAACAACGGTAGCTGTGTCTCAGTGCTCCATGAAACTGCTGTCGCCCCGTTATGTGCTGCTTTTGTCTCCTCAATCCAACCATCTACCAGGGTCTCAAGAATGTTCATGGACATAGGGCCGTGTTCCAAAATCACAGAATGGAACTTCTTGATGTCGAACATTTCCCCTACAATAAACATCATAAATACAGTTCATTTCCTTATATGAATTACTTGAATGCATTTATGTTACCAAATCGGGAACCGTCGGCACTTTCCGTAAAACGCACACGGAGAGGACTGACAGTCGAATATTACTATACATTTTATATTTATATTTACGTTGAATGTTTAAAATATCTACCTAATTCTTTTTCTGATTTCCTTCTCAGTTCTCGTATTTTGATTTCCCCCATCTTGTATGCGCATGCTTGACCAGGCCACGTGATGTACCGATTGATTTCAATTTCTACAAATCCCGGTCCATACGCTGTGTAGTTGAACATATAATCCATAGCCTTTTCCTTTGTCCAACTGAAAAATGCAAGTTATTAGAAGGTTGATTATTTGCTTTTTCTCATGTTTCCTTCGTTAATCTAGACTTCTATTTTCCGGTTAAATATTGTAGGTATTCTGAATATAATAACCCTCCCTACAATGTAACATTGTAAACACGAGACTTTCATACATGTTGAAAACTTCTATTGCTTCCGTAGTCTCAATTGATGACTCTTACTTAATAGTCTCTTTCTTTGTTCAAATCCCCTTATGCATTTTACTATAATCAGAGTATAACCCCAATCTCTCATTTAAATTGATATCTTTAAATATAATGCGATGTTACGTAATTGTTCTCGTTGCCAACAAGTAAAACTTTAGTATTACAATTTTCACTATTGTAAAATATTTGTTCAAATCCCCTTCAAATGAAATGTCCAATAATCGCATCTAGACTTCTATTTTCCGGTTAAATATTTTCGGTGACAAAGTGCCATTTATTAACGTTCTCATTTTGATATATGTATTTTACATAATAATCATAAGATCTCTTTTCCTTTGATTTTTGTCTTAAATATCAAGAGCAAGGCTCGTGTGACAGTCTATTAAAATGATGTTATGTATGACGGATTTCTGCTCTACCAAGGGCAAAGACTAACGAATTCCCTCTACTTTTTGTACACATAGTAACATCCCCATAAGTTTGGTTTGGTTATATCTGTAGCGCAAATGGGAAAGGACGCAGACGATAAGAGAAACAGTGTCGTGTCTAAAAGTCCATTGAGATCAAATCCTGGTCTGTCGTAATAGTCTTTTAACACCCAGAATACTGTAAACTCTGTTTTGTTCATTTTCGTCTTTAATTTTTCTTTTCGGAAATGACCATCAAAGCTATATTTATGATGGGGAAATGTTTACAGATACGGGGATCCTTAAGATCCTTTATAAAAAGTGTTCAACCGAGTTCTGTTCCTAATAATAATATCTGTAGTGATAGACAGAATGGCTGATAATCATTTTAATTTATCGCACTATTAGAACGACTAAAAAACTAATGCAATACCATGCATAAACAACGCATCCTAAAATCGACAGGGTATTAATTATTTCAAAAGCTTCGACCATCAACTTTATGTGATTATCAGGTATTCTCAGAGGAACATGTGATATCTTACTCAAAGTGATGTATCCCAGTATCAATGACCAGGCGAGAGGCACGCATCATTTCACCACTGTATCTTCCCATTCTGAAAATATAATAAATATAAACATCAAAATTAATGGATTAAAATCAAAATAAATAAATTAATAAATGAATAAATGATGTCCATAGATTCTCTTCATAAATAAGAAAATTGACGATTACAGTAATATAATTTTAAGGAATAGCAACTATGGCAACATATACAGAATGTAGCAAAAGGATGATCCAGAGAGAATGCACATTGGAATTCAGGTTATATTGACGGAGCATTTTATTGGCAAACAGTAATATTATACATTATATAGGGAAAAGGTTGATACTTGAGATACAGGAAAAACGTTTTTTTTTACCATTGCAGTAAAAAACTAAGTTCCAACTAGAACTGTCATCCGGAGGATAAAAAATACCACTCGCAGATGCTGGTAGTTTATACATCATTTAGTGACCTTGACCTTGGGATTTCTGGAGAAGTTATTTCGCATAAAAGACCGTAACTACATTAAAAAATGTTGAGATCTGAAATCAAAATGCTGATGCACAACTAAATAATATACTTATCATTCAAATAACTTTTTTAATAAAATCTGCCTGTTAGTTAAGATGGAGTTTTCCGGACAACTGACTTCGCATGAAGGGCAGTAACTCCCTTAAAAAGTGTTGGCATCTCTAATTAAAACTAGATAATTAACTGATCATTCAAGTGAAGCTTACAAAAATCTGTCTGTTAGTTAAGATGGAGTTTTCCGAAAAAGTTACTGTGGACGATAGACAGACAGACAGACAGACAGGGTGATTCCAATATACCCCTTCGTTGCAGGGGATGTGGGGGGGGGGGGNTTTTGAAAGTGAATTATTATCCTTCTTTTTGGGAATGCCAAGAGGTTTTACAATTCACACGAAGCCTAACTAAACTCATTTGTTGATGCTTTATTTCCCTGTCCTTTTACACAATAGAATATCTGTCTTATGTGGGGTTTAAATTATAATAAGTACTTCATGCGATTGAATTGGAGACAGATACAGAAAACCTCCAAAATACCCCAGTTATCGCAATGGATGCAAAGCAAAGCTACACTAATGCGAGTGAAAGAATCTAACGATCAGAAACAATCGCAGTCTTCTCGAACCCCAAAACTTAAAGTCAGTCTTTAGACATCAATTTCATATTATTTTATCCCTCTGACAACGTATGATTACAAACTGGACCGAAATGAACTTGAGTTATATCCATGATTGTCCAAGCCAATCAGAGGCCATGCAGCCTTCTTGTCCAATCGAAAAATGAAATTCGCGGTTTGTAGTGCCATAATACATTTACATACACATACTAGTTTGAACCTTTACACAAATGTTAACGTTTTCATATCAAAAATGGGTCATGGTATCCCCTACTCCACCCCACCCTAGCATGCCACATGTTGCAATACCAACATACAATGACTGAGGAAATTAAAAGGAGAGACAAAAATAACTTTAAGCACGTACTAAAGGCATTTCCACATACTGTATGTTCGGTATGTTTATACTTACAGTTCATAGTCATCTGCATACAGTCCCATCTCTTCGCCGAGGTATTCTGAATATAATCCCCATCCCTGCAATGTAAAATTGTAAACACGAAACGTCAATGCATGTTGAAAACTGCTCTTGCTTCCGTAATCTCTTCAATTGATGCCTCTTACTTAATAGTCTCTTTCCATAGTCTGTTTTAAATATGCATTTCACTATAACCAGAGTATAACCCCAATCTCTCATTTTAATTGATATCTATTAAACATAATGCAATGTCACGTTATTGTTCTCGTAAAAGTTAACCACTGTGACACTGTGAAATAAAAAAAATGGTAAGTAATAGTAGTGATGTAGGCGAGAAGAAATTGCAAATTAAATGTTACAATTGTCACTATTGTTAAATATTTGTTTAAATCCCTTCGAATGATATTTCCAATAATCGCATACTGCAATGCACTTTGTGGGGAATAGCGGGGGTCGAACTAGGGTCCTTTATATAGCAAAGCCTATATTTGACGTATGTTGCCATACAGGAATATGCTAGCCCAGAACCAAACTGGATGCGCAATGTATGGGCCTCAAAGTATATTATAAAAATAATTAATCAAGGGAAGTGACTTTAAGCCAGAAACATATTTTTTGTTACTTCATTTGCTATATAGAAGGGAAAATACTCAAATTAAAAGCAAATACTCCTAGTAGAATTCCTCTTTGCGCTAATACATTTGTAACTGACGCAGTGCTTACGTTACCTGAAGGATGGAAGTACTCAAAGTCACGAATGTGCACAACCCAAACAACAGAAACATAAGTCGTTACGCTACTTAGATACAAACGAATGATAGTTACAGACATATTGTAACTAAGGAGAAGTGGAACAGGCGGTAGTTAAGGGCAGGTGGTGCAGCCGGCAGCTAGGGACAGGTGGTACAGACGGTAGTTAAGGACATGTGGTACAGAGGGTAATTAAGGGCAGGTGGTGCAGCCGGCAGCTAGGAACAGGTTATACAGACGGTAGTTAAGGACAAGTGGTAGAGACGGTATTTAGGGACAGGTGGTATAGACGGTAGTTAAGGACATGTGGTACAGACGGTATTTAGGGACAGGTGGTATAGACGGTACATTATAGTTAAGGAAATGTGATACAGACGGTAGCTAGGGACAGGTGGTACAGACGGTAGTTAAGGACGTGTGGTACAGACGGTAGCTAGGGACAGGTTGTATAGACGGTAGTTAAGGACATGTGGTACAGACGGTAGCTAGGGACAGGTTGTATAGACGGTAGTCAAGGAAATGTGGTACAGACGGTAGCTAGGGACAGGTTGTATAGACGGTAGTTAAGGACATTTGGTACAGACGGTAGCTAGGGACAGGTTGTATAGACGGTAGCTAAGGACAGGTGGAATAGACGGTAGCTATGGACAGGTCGTACAAACGGTAGCTAAGGACAGGTTGAACAGACGGTAGCTAAGGACGGGTGGTACAAACGGTAGCTAAGGATAGGTGGTACCGACGGTAGTAAAGGACAGGTGGTACATGTACAGACGGTAGCTAGGGACAGGTGGTACAGACGGTAGCTAAGGACAGATGGAATAGACGGTAGCTAAGGACAAGTGGTACAAACGGTAGCTAAGGACAGGTGGAAAAGACGGTAGCTAAGGACGGGTGTAGTTAAGGTCAGGTGGTACAAACAGTAGCTAAGGACTGGTGGTACAGACGATAGCTACAAGGATAGGTGGCACAGACGGCAGCTAGGGACAAGTGGCACAGACGGTAGCTAAGGACAGGTGGTACAGTACAAACTGTAGCTAAGGACATGTGGAACAGACGGTAGCTAAGTACATGTTTGATTTTATTTTCTTACAGAACAAAGCTTGACACAGTGATTTATAAAACATTTCATTGCTAATTATCCCGATGTTAATACATAATTGTCAAAGCGTGTTGCAGAAGACTGACCTCTACGTAGGCTGAAAAAAACGGCAGGGTAAATGGGACATCATAGAAACTGTACTCCGGGAATCGTCTATACTTGGCAAGATCTGCTTTCATGGTGTAGCTGTGCTGTGATGCAAAAATAGAACGCTGAACATAACAAATACATTGAGGATTTTGTAAACGGAAATATCAATTACCTTTTGTACAATGTATTGTTTTAAAAACAAACCACAACACCATCAGATACTGCTGATCAATTGTCTGATTGTTTCATTTGGTTATATATAAATACATATCAATCATATTTACAAAGGCTTGTGAAAACAATAAAACTGGGCAATTAGTTATGGATGGCCTCTGGTGTTTCTGCCTTTGCATAAATCAACATATTATGATATTTTAAAGTTAAATCTGATAAAAATGAAAATATCAAATGATATGCGTTGATGTCATTATGCACAACAATTATACCTGCATATGGTGACCAGGATAGGCTTCGTGGAGACTTAGTGCCATGTAGTCAAATGTAGGACTGAAAAGAGATAAAGTGAGACAATTTGAATTGTTCAATCTCATGATTTCCTTTACTTTGTATATAAATATTGTAAGATTCATGTACATGTATTTACGGTCCGGATACATGTATTATAGACGTAACGCCAGGATACGCAATTTCTTGCTCGTTTTATACCCATGGTAAAACCTAATCTTAACCCAGAGTTGTTCAGTCGTACACATGTGTTAGTGAGTGTGAGAAACGACAACTCTGGGTATAGATTGTTAGTGAGTGTGATGAACGACAACTCCGGGTAGAGATTGTTAGTGAGTGTAAGGAACGATAACTCTCGGTATAGATTGTTAGTGAGTATATGGAAAGATAACTCTGGGTAAAGATTGTTAGTGAGTGTGAGGAACGACAACTCTGGGTAGAGATTGTTAGTGAGTGTGATGAACGAAAACTCTAGGTAAAGATTGTTAGTGAGTGTCAGGAACGACAACTTGGTAGATATTGATAGTGTGTTTGAGGAACGACAACTCTGTGTATAGATTGTTAGTGAGTGTGAGGAATGACAACTCTGGGTAGAGATTGTTAGTGAGTATAAGCAACGACAACTCTGGGTAGAAATTATTAGTGAGTGTGAGGAACGACAACTCTGGTAAAGATTGTAAGTGAGTGTGAGGAACGACAACTCAGGGTAAAGATTGTTAGTGAGTGTGAGGAACGACAACTCTGGGTAAATATCGTTAGTGAGTTAGAGGATCGACAACTCTGGGTAGATATTGTTAGTGAGTGTCAGGAACGACAACTCTGGGTAGAGATTGTTAGTGAGTGTGAGGAACGACAACTCTGGGAAGATATTGTTAGTGAGTGTAAGCAACTACGACTCTGAGTAAGGATTAATGGTGAATGTAAGGAGCTACGACTCTGAGTAAGGATTGTTGGTGAGTGTAACGAGCTACGACTCTGAGTAAGGTTTGTTGGTGATTGTAAGGAACTACGACTCTGAGTGAGGATTGTTGGTGAGTGTAGGGAGCTACGATTCTGAGTAAGGATTGATGGTGAGTGAAAGGAACGACACCGAGTAGAGATTGTTTAAGAGTATAAAGAGCTGCTACTCTCAATGGAGATTATTTATGATTGTGTAGAACGACAACTATTAGAAAAGATTGTCGGAGAGTATTGGGAACGACAATTCTTGGTAGAGATATTGCTAGTTAAAAAGTAGAGAAAGGAACGACAACTCTGGTTATAGGTTCTGAGAGAGTGTAAAGGACGAAAACTCTAGGTAGCGATTGTAAGTGAGTGTAGGGAATGACACCTCTTTGCCGATATCGCGTGTCGCATTGTAAGACATATTCAACTACGGTAAACCTTATTATTAGCGTTACAAAACATATTTTACGCTAGGTTCAACCTTATGATTTCTCGTGTGTAAACAATGAAGGCGTAAATATTACTGATGCAAAGTTGTCCCTGTATGCAACGTAAACAAGATCACTTGTACTTGTTTATAGCAACGACAGGGATCCAATGTGAAGCATGAACTATGATAGGCTAACATGAATTACTTTTAAAGCATGCACTCTATATATATGCACTTCATAAACATGCGTTCCATAAATATGGACTCCTTAAATATGTACTCAAAATATATGTAAATATGAACCCTAAAGCATGTACTCCATATAAATGTACTTCACATATTTTTTTCTTGCACAACTTACTTTTCCCGTGGTCTGTATAGGTTGATAAGGAATTTGCCGGGATTGACCTCAGAAGCCAAGGCATACGAACCCCCAGTGCCGTCATTTGGGGATTTCTCCACTCTGAATGAACACCAATCAAGACATCGACAGAGATATCATACTCTTAAAGATGGTTTCAGTTAAAATGTTATATAACATGGAACATTTTGAAGCTTGAAACTTTATAAAAATGGAAATAAAATATGAAGACCTTAAATGATTATCAATACTTTTGTTCCGATATAGGAGTAACGATAATAATAATTTCTGTTTGAGAATCATTCTGTCCTAAAGACAGTTTAAACTTCAAACTACCATAGCAATACAACCAAATCATGAAATTCAATCTTACAAATAGAGCGATTATCTATTATATATGAAGTAAACGTTAAGTTATATTATGCCCAATTGTAAAAACTAGGAACCTAGAACAATTCTAATATAATTTACTTACGTCATCATAACGTTCGGTATATTTGTAAAGTATTTTGGCAATATCGGTCTGATTCTGTTGTTTACAAGGTCCGTGTATTCTTCAACTATTTCATCCTGGTTAAAACAATAATAATATATATATCTCACGTCAGAAAGGTACATGAATGGGGTGTACTTTAGGGAAATCCCACCCAAGAACCCTTTTATATAAAATAGTTTTAACTGGAGGCTTGCACAAATTTTAAACTTCGAGAGTGGGATTTCCCTATGTTACATAATTGAGAATTATGTACATGTAAATACTTTTTTCTATCATTCCAACAGGTCGTTTTGATTGTCTACTGCATAAAAAATAAATCTTTTCCCCTTGGATTATTTGACAAAAACAAACAAGTCTGTGAAACTAACATGCATAATTCCCCATTATGCCAAACGTGATATTGCGTATTTTATAGATTATTTTTTCTTAACCTGGGATTTTCTATCATACAAGATAGGAATCAATAAAAAAAAGATCCATTGTAGATGTCGATTCTTTAAAGGTGACCATAGCTTACACACGTGTAATTGTACCTTACAAATATTTTAGTAATTTCTAAATATTCCAAAATCCCGAATTACGTACGAAATATTATTTTATATAAACTTGGTAATAAACCACTTGCCATTACTTTCCTGAATTTGATAAATGTGTTCCATAGTTGATATCGATCTTGGTAAACATTATTTCACATTTTTATATATTTTCATTTTACTTACTGCATCATCGATGATGAATCTAGCGTCGTTTTTAATACTGTCAAAAAAGTCTTTTACAGAACCCATGAAGGAAAACCGATTCAAAACCTGAAATAAAACAAATTATAATAGAAACAATTAATGAAAATTGACTTTGCATATTAAAAATACCCCGCTTAGTAGAAATACGTGATTATGCTAATGTTTAAACATTAAACCAAAAAGGGTTAACCGTGAAAGTATAAACAAAAGAAGAGAAAATAAAAATGTTGACAGGAAAAAATAATTAAAAAATAGTTAAATGATAAAAAAAATTCTCCGATTCAGCAATGACATTTGCCCCGGGAGAAGAGCATGCCGCTGACATTTTGGTATTGTAAGTAACAATTGGTTTATAATGAATGAAATAGACAAACATAATTGAAATAAACATGCGTATCTGAAATATTGAAATGCTTTACCAAAACAACAAAGACTTTTCAAATGTATTACCTGTAACTGAGCGAGATCGGGTTATCTCAGTCGAGGGTTAAGCTTAACCGAGGTTGGGATGTTTCAAAATCTTAGCCCGAGACTCAATTAACCCGATCTTGCTCAGTTACAGGTAAAATATTTTTATCAATCTTTGTTGTTATTTTGTTTTTTTGTTCACCACCTTTTGCATGTTTCCGTATATTCGGTTGACCTCCTGCAGCCCAAGGTTGTGGACATACTCAGGCGACACATCCAGAGAAGTATGCCACTTGAGACACGCTCGATAGTAGTCGACGCCATTCCGCAGGGACTTAACAGACGTCTGAGGCCTCGTGTGATGAAGGTAGGTCTTTAATGTAAACAAACGAATATAATAATAATAATAATAATAATAATTTGAGGTTCTTTTATACCGCTTTATCAAAAACTAGTTCGTAGGTCGTCTCAAAGCCGTTCGCAAATTATTATCGGCGGTTATAGGGCTTTTGCAACCAGTCAATATCTTGATCAACTCCATTAGGAGCATACAACCGGTGCTGCCATTTCGACGCTCACAGCTAGCATTCTACAATTCTAGCACTGCCCAACCACGTACTCATTTAGAGCTGAGTAGACTGGGGCAAGCGGAGTAAAGTATCTTGCTCAAAGATTCAACACAGTGCCGTACCGTGACTCGAACCCTCAACCCGTCGGTCACGAGCCCGGCGTCCTACCACTAGACTACGTGCCTCCACAGGTATTTACATACATGTATTTCACATATAGTTTGATAATTAAAATTGTATGCAATTAGTAACATTTACATGTTATTCAATAAAATGTTTTTTTTTCCCGTTTCATTTGTTATTGTTGAAGTTCTTTGCTGTGTTTAGTTATTAATGCAAAACCCATTGTTTTTTAGCTTCAACTTTGAATTCCAGAGATTGCCTTGTGTGTTGATGATGTGATATTTTTCTAATTGTCGTTATTTCTTAATCCTTTGAAACCGAAATGTGAGAAATATGCATCTATATTTAAATATATTCACATTTATAATGTAATATCTGTCCTTGCTTACTTTTGATACAATTGAGTGATAGTGACACGTGATATAAAAGAATCGATATGAAAAATATTTCACAATTCAGTTTTTTCATATTTTGCATTCTTTCCTACTTTTGCTGTTAATTGAAACAACTCACGTTTTCTATATAGTCTTTAAGTCTTCTGTAAGAATCCAGTACTCCTGCAATGCCCTCTCTACCTCTTCTCCTCAGCGACAGCCTGGGTGATTTGATGAAAATAGTATTAGTATAATTATGTACTGTTTAATTTGTACATACTTATTTATAATTATATCTTATCTATTGCTTAACCTTTGTAGCCAAGCTTATCTATTATTGGTAATGTTTTATGAACATAACTAACAGATTGCTTACCAAATGAACATACATTTATGACATGTTAATAATTTACAAATTACATAATTGTCTGTTAATTTTCTTGGCTTTTATCTATTGCTAAACCCTGAGACATATATCTTATCTGAAGCTAATGTTTATTTATTTTTAAAGTTTTGTTTAGATGTTGCTAAAACGCACATTTTTATCAGTTGAACTAAATCTCACTAAAACAAATCTCACTAAACTTAAACATGAAAATATAAATTGCATACTTTTAAATTTACACAGATAACTTAAAGATAAATTACTAAAAGTATACCTGATATACCGTATGATATGTAATTCCAAAAATGACAAGAAATTGTTTCTAAAATATTTCTTTTACGAAATCCTGTACCTGACTTTCTCGGGTATTAAAGACTTCTCGAGTGACTTGTTAAACGGAATATAGAAGTTAGACTCATCAACACCAACAAGCAATTCTTGAATTTGATCTGGTACTGCGGCCTGAAATTAGAACAAATTGTTAACAAAGTAATCGGCCAGTTAAAAAATAATGTAAAACGATTTAATATGAATAACTAATATATGTATTTCTTACATATTTGCCATTAAAATATGGGATTCTATCAACTTGATAAAACTGATATCTTTCACACTGTGACAACAGTGTGAAAATATCACTTTTTGGTATTGACCAATCATATTACAGCGAAGGTAGAATAAGTGGCTGTTGTGATAAATTGTTTAGTACACACTTAAGTATTACATAAATATACTATTAATGACATTTTGTATAAGCAATTATACCAGAAAATAACAGAAAACGTCGGAATTGCGTTGATTATCCCATTCAAAATGGCGCGCAGTCTTGTTGTCAAGCATGAACTCATTAGAATATGGCGCTAATTATTACGCTTCTGATTCCCGACTTTTTTAATGCATTACATTTTTCATGTTTTATGTTTTAAAAATGTATTAAATAGAAAATTTAATGGTGTCTTCAGTAAAAACAAATATATTTCACGAGTGTGGCTAATATTTTGATTTTTTTCACGAGTGCTGCATTAAATATCGATCTCTATACATTTACATTTCAACGATTCTCCTGTGATAAAAATGAACATTCCTTTATGCAAATACATTTTTAATTTTCTTTTTTATTTAGTTGAAATTATATACTTCATTACAATAGAAACTTTGTGATATGTCAAATTGAGTCGAATAGCTTCATTCATCCTGGAGATTACTTCGTCGACCTGAAAGAGAACAATTGAAATGAAAATAGTAAATTGAAATATTGTTAGCTTTATGACAATAGATATGTTTAAAATGCACCCATCTTACCTGTTTTTGATACAGAAATAGATAAAAATTGGTTGATTGAAATCCCGTAACCTTTTCGTTTTGTAACATTGTGTATACTTTTGAATTCATTCTTAAACTTAACATAGTGATAAATTAATACCTGATTTGACCAAATTTACATATTAACACCAACGTTTGATGGGTAAAAACAATGTCGATGTACAGTAAATAGAAACCATGGGATTCTACGAAATCCTTTATTCCACTAAACACTGATATACTAGTAAGGTATGTTGTCTTACCAATTTTGGCATGTTGAACATTCTAACAATGTAATTTTCGAAGTCACCTCGTGTGTTAGTCTCCGCTTTTTCTACCGGAAAATACAAATGGATCCCCTCTAGAAAATTAACAGGACTCAGCACATACCTGCGGGTGAAAATTGAATCGGGTACATTTTGTAATGATCAACGACTATACCACATAATTAAAGCACTAAGAATACCGCGCTTAAAATAAAACAATTCTGGTGTTTGTAATGTTCCAAAGAACGAAACAGTAAACAAAACCATCGCTGAGGTGAACTATTTCATAATAGTTAATAATTACATTCTATATCACTGTCAAAAATCAACCAAGACAAACAAAACAAAACATAAACGTTACATTAACAACTAAGATGAATCAAAAGAGGAGGCAAGACACAGCATTATCGCACCTCAGACAAGGGTTTCCCACGTCATACCCGATGCTAGATTTTTCCATCTCGTCCGATCTGTCTAGCACCTCTACGTGATAAATTATATTTGACGATGATGATTTGATGATGTATTCATCCGCAAGATATACCAAATAGGAGTCAGTATTGAAATAATTCTTTTTATTATTCAACATAATAAGTTTGCGTTAACATTATTATTCCCAGTATATATAGATATATATTTATGCCGTGAATTATGGTTTTCATCTCCTATCAGCACAACCTACATGTACATTGTTTATGTGGACGCTTTCAAACACAGCTTTAGTTGTGAAGAGGTCATATTAAATTTAGGGCCCACACGGGATACCTGTGTACCATGATAGAAATTGAAATATAATCGAGAAACACTTTCCTGTAACTATGTGAGTTTGGGTTACCTCGGTTATGGGATAAGAATCTGCAACATCCCGAACTCAATCGGCTAACGTTTTTGTTAGAATAAGATTACAGAATCTTAGTTTTCTACCGCGATAACCCGATCGCGCTTAGTTACATATCATATGGTTAATTGATAACACAGTTTGACCTATATCGATCTAATTAAAAAGTCACAAAAAGGGAAGACAACATAAAGCTATACTTATATCACGTCAACAAAATATAAGATTGAAACTTGTTAATCTGATGGCGTTTTTGCATGTTGTATAAGATTACTTACGTGGCCCATTTGTAACCGTCGAGGAAAGTTGTTATGTAATCTTTAAAAATGACATACTCCATTTGCTTAGCCTTGCTGAGTTCATCCTTATTTATTAACTCCACCATTGACAGAAATGATTCAACCGCTTCCTAGAAGGTAAATCATCTTAAGATCGCCATTCACGTGCAAGTAATAAAGAGAAAAAAATCATTTCTTTATTTTGCTTTTAACGAATCTCCAGTAAATATATGTGGATGCGAATATGGAGGTATTAAAACATTGTTTATTGCTATTGTTATCTGAATGGATCCATATTGTGCTTAGTCTGCAGTAAACTATGTCTTTTAGATGGCTCTACAGACTGCTAGATATATACCAGGACACTAAATGACAAAATAAAGTCGACTTTTCGAGATCAAAAGAGACAGACAAGAAATAACTATTCATCACACAAAACAACACCATAAAAAATATCGGCATTTTCTGAAATAGAACTGTTTGAGAAAGTGTTGTTTATGTAAGAGTAAGTATAGATAAAAATATTTCATACGTTAAAAAATAAAGTCCAAATTGTTTGTAATATTGATTTATATTATAATGTATACAAACCTTTTTTCGTTCAATCACAGACAAATTCATTGATTGTGTGGCATCATTATACTTATATACGCCCTGGTAGGTTGAAAACTCTGGGGAATATTGCATCCGAAAGTCCCAGAAATGACGTAGTACGAGATCAAAGGTTACATCATCAGCTATATAAGACAAAATATCCGGCATCTTTACAGTCACACGACCAAAGAAAAAAACAATGACAAAAACTGCAAATGACGGACAGATAAGATAACTATTAATTCGTCATTTTTTCACATGCACGCTTTCACAACACACATGGATGGACGTCTTTTAATGACCTTAGCTGTTAAAAGGACGTTACACAATATAAAACCAAAACCAAACTCTCACAAAAAGCTTTGTAAGGAACACCGTGCTACTGCCGCACTTTTAACTGTATATCAGAAACTTAATATCTGTCAAGGTTCTAGCCTTGAAACATATTAATGACGACAGAAAACAACTGCAGTGCTCAGAGTGTAAACAGGCATTCGGGCCGGACCAGATTCCATCGCTATATCAGTACATCATGTCTGTCATATGGCTCTTCAGGCCAACAACATACTGATCTTCAGTCTTCAGATAATTGTTTTGTTGTGCTAACAATCTGAGATGACTGATAAACGCTAGAAACCTTTAACAGTCACTAAACAACATAAACAGGAGGTTACTTCATGTTTGAATAAAAAACAATAAAAGTATCTAGTGTTTTGGCTTAAAGAGGAACAGGTATCATTTAAGAAATAAATGCTTCGTCTTTCACAAACGACCCAAATATATGTATAACTACGGTAACTACGGTAATTATTGCATTATGCCTTCAAAGGCTCACAAGATGCATGTGTATTGACAATACTCGAGTAATGATAAATAATAATGCAACTCAATGTGATTAAGGGAGAATTTATGACCAATAACAAACAATACTTATGATTTGTTAGCATAACGTTGGTCAATGTTACGCTTTTAATTCACATCCGTTTAAATAGTAGGTATCTGTAAAAGTCTTGTTCAGCTTTAAACAATGAACAATAGTTTGATACGTTATTCTGTTTATAATTTAGAAGCAAGCACAACGTTGTCCAATAATGTATAGCTCTAAATTAACACTAAGTTGTAGCACTCTGAAGTTAAGCTGAACAGAACGAACCAAAGTTTAATAGGGCATTACCTCCCCTACTCATGTTCATTTATAATAAATGTAATATCTTAAAACAAAGCAAAATTACACTTGTAAATTATACGGCAGCAATATGTGTGTAGAAGTATTGTTATACAATTTACCTTCAGCTGAGATAAACGCCCCACACAGCACACATACAAACATCCACATCTACAAAACACAAGCCATGGAATTCATGTTGTTCGATAGTGGTAAGACATGTACCAATGATTATATACTGTAAATCAGTATTTACACACAGTGTACGACAACTACACACATATTTATTCATATTAACTTAAAAAACAATATAAAGTTGCTATAAAGATGAATATTTGCAGAAAAAATTGATGCATAACACATTTAGATGTTTCTGATTTTTCGTATATAATCATTGAAATGCTATAAGTACACAATAGCATGTATAGAAATGAAAAAGATAACTAGGTATATACAAAATAAGGATACATGACGATTTTAAATATTACGTGCCTTGGGAAACATCATAATAAATCTCCTTACCCTGATCTGTCGTTGTAAGCTTTAGTTCCAGATTCCATATATATTGTGATTCATATCAAGGCTGCGTTTTATTGTGCATCACAACATGGCAGGGTGAAGCGTATCACAGTTTCAAGCCTTATGGTACATGCCGATAACGTTTTCAGCCAGGGAGATGATGAACGTCTACAATTTCCCACGAGGTCGTCGTTGTATATATTAACGGTTGCCAGACTTACATACACTCTTCTCGAACCACCTATGTTGAAGATAACAGTGTTTTCACGTCGAGTGATATGTTCACTTATCAGGAGCACATCTATGTTACGAGCATTACTCTCTGAACCTAGCTATAGCTTGTGCCAAGAGATATAAACTTCTTTTTTTCTCTCTGAAGTGGTTTTGTTTTATTGGAAATTTAAAAAAAAAATCCAGATGCAATCATTTGTTTTGCCAAAAAAACCCCATTCTTTGCTTCTTGTAGGGTATATTGTTTAATTGATGTGAAATGGAATAGGATTTAACCTAAGTTTCCTTGACTCGAACCCGCAACCCTCGGTCACGAGCCCGGCGTCCTACCACTGTAATACCGTGCTTTCTAACAGCTACATCTAGTTTCCCATATACTTTTACTATATGTACAGCTGCTTTGTTTTGTGTGGTGGAGGGTATCTAGGTATACTAGGAGTATTATAACAAAGAATAATAACACATATACAAAAGAACGATAAATACAGCTGTTCCTCCTTAACGTTTAATAAAGAGTAACAATACAGAGCCCAAACTGCCTACGCGTATTCCGTCTTTGCGTATTGCAGAGTTGTCTTCTCTTGAGAGCAGGCATTGATTGTTACGTCATTGGTTTGTGTGAGAAAATTGATGACGTTCCTCTCACAAACCAATGACGTTACAATCAATACCTGCTCTCAAGAGAAGATAACTCTGCGATACGCAAAGACGGAATAGCATGCACAGTACTAGTTTGGAAAGTGTAAGGTCTCAAATAAAAGATGCACTGATACACAGTAATTGTTATCGGTGATAGTACAGAAGTTACATTTGGTCCGGATTTTTGAGTTCGAATTATGGGTCTTAAGACAATTCGGTATTTTCTTGTTTTTCCAGTATTTCATATGTTAAAGTACCGATGCTCCCTAAACTTTTCATAAGTTTTACAGTAATATATTTATTTGTGATATAACATTTTTTAAACACCATGACAATTCCAGTTATGAATACGTGTTAGTATCACTGTTACATATTTCGAGGATATTTACACAGAAGTTGTTTAAAATAGCACCGCTGTTGCATATTATGTGGTCACGATACCAGTGAAATTTATATAAAAGCACTAGTATTAGATACTGTGTGGTCATTATTCTAGTATAATGTTTATGAAAGCATCATGATAACATATTTTGTGGTCATCATTCCGGCGCAATGTATGAAACACATATAGCAATACTGTCACATATTTTGTCTTCAATACTCCAGTAAAATGTATATAAAAACACCACTGTTGCATAATGTGTGTTCATTATTCTAGTAAAATGTTTAATATAACCACTTGTACACAGTATGTGGTCATGATTATAGTCAAATGATAACAATAGTACCATTATAACCTAACAAAATGTGTGGATTTTATTCCAGATATATATCTATATGATTGTGTACCGCTAAAACATGTTTGTGCTCACGATTCTTGTGATATGTATGTGATACATATACATGTATAACCACTGTTACATATTGTGAAGTCATTAATCCATTTATGCATATATAAATATATATACATATATGATGGTTTCACACAGTACCATTTTTGTGTATGTAAATATTATACATATATATGTAACACCACTATTACAAATATGTGAGGTTATCATTCCATTAATGTATATGTGATAGTGTACCACCATTTCTTTTGCGTGGTCATTATTCTAATGACATATACTGAAAACGCACATATTTTAGCGCTATTACATATTTTGTGGATGCGCCAATTCATAAATGCTGTAATCTGTTAAAATTTGAGTGCACTAAAATAAGTACATTTACAGTATGTTATTGTACCATTGTGGTATATTGTATGGACATTGTTCTAAATAAATAAATCATGTTAACAGCTATATCTAGTTTATTAATTAGAAGATATTTGGGGAATATTGTCTCGTTAGACTGAGTCAAATAACTTTGCCTCGGCATACAGACTATCCGTAAGCATAATGGAGTCTATAATATAGTTGTATATTTTGGAATAAGCATCATTAGACGAAGTTTACTGACAAAATTACGTTATAACTTAGAAGCTTGCATTCTTGGATTGACTTATACTGGATCAAATATACAACCTACACTTTAATATCAAACTAGTCAAAAAACAAATCAACTACAATTATGAAGATACAGGCGAATAGGTTAATTGACATTTTTATGACTACATAGCGTGTTATGCTATGAAAATAACCTTGTTCGTAGCGGAACCTGGCAAATGTTATGCAGTCATGAACGATATATAAAAGAGGACATATCTAAATAATGCCAAGGTTAATACATGCATCATCACGAGAAGTCATTGAATGAGACTGGCACGCTTGTATTTGAGAAATAGTTGTGCTGTTACTTGACACGTTTATTACACCTTGTCTGCAGGTAACGAACCTTGAACTTCTGTAAATTAATATTTGGGTGGTAATACAAACTTGGATACTTACCGAGGAGGAAATATATATATTAAAGTATTGCTATTTAGCTGTGTGATTGTAATAAGGGTGTTTTTTTTCACCACGAGCATCATCGATGAGTCCTGCAGTGTAAGTTATTTTTAACTTGCTGTATCAATACCAAATTGTACATATACAATCACACTTATGTGTCTTACGTCCATCTTTAAGGAAATCTATATTATGATGAAACTACAAAGAGTTTTAGATAAGAAAACAAATATACATAAACATTGTATCATTGTTTCAGATACTAAACACGTACACATACAACAAACGCATCCTATTATATATTTAACATATGTTTATTTTAATCATAAGCGCGTCATGTATACAATCATATATGACTCATATATTTTAAACGTCGGTTTCCCGCATCAAAAATAAAACGACGATTTTTATATACCTCTGTTTATATCATCTTAAATTTATATACAATGCTATGTCTTATATTTGCTATGTACATATTGAAGCAAAATAGACACAAATATTTAGTAGTATATAAAATGGATTTCAAATAGTTTTGTTTAAACAATCAAGCATATCTTACACAATATTTTCTGTTGCAAATGTTGGAAGGTAACAAAATCAAAAAGATGTCTGGAAGATATTGATGGCTAATTCATAAGATTGACAATTGTTTCTTACAACGTAACATGAAATAAGGGAATTGTTTAATTAACGAAGGTTTTCTTTCAAGAAACTGGTCTAAGCACATTCCGTTGTTTATGAAAAAGCTTGAAACAAAGATATGAAGGAAAAATTTGCACCTTACGAATATAATACCAACTGTTCAATCCTTTCAGAACGCAACTATTCAAGAACTATTTACTCCTTATGGAAGTAGGGTTAACTTACTCTAGGTGAACGGATTAGTAAATAAAACTAAATCTAATTAATCAATCTGTCAACAATCAAGCACATGTATCCTGTAATATCACACAACACACAGGCAAAATACGATATTATCTAAAGATTTTTCGAATTTCAATTGTTAAACAAACTACTATGCGTCGTCATTACTTTCAGCCATCCTTATCCGTACGAAAGAACATCCTTGCTAAAGCTCAACACCTTCTTTAGTTTATTATTATGCTCGTTTATGTATCTTGCGGTTTTATTTTCACTATCCGTGGTTCTCATCATGAGCACCTTACATTATGTTGGTATTGCATATCTTTAAATAGCGGGTGCCTTCTATGAAATTGAAGACACTTACCCTTCCGGAACACCTGGTCTTATTTCTTTATCATTTTCATAGAAAGACAATCGTTCATGATCGTTATGTCCATGTGAAGATAGCAAATAAAGTTAAACACATTTAAACTAATAGCAATACAGAGCGATTCTGTAAGTTTTCCAAAAATTATAAATAAAGAACATTTCAAATGTACTTAAACCTTGATCGCCTTGTTTTGAATGATACTTTTGTTGGACTTAATCGATATATCAAACTTATCAAGGATATTTTAGGAGTGAAATATTGACACCTTGACAACTTTATATTCTGATCGATATGAAACAGATGGCATTTTTTGATGAACTTTACCATGTAATTATACAAATACATTTCGTAATAGAACACAGATTAGTAAACCAAAAGTGTGGATTATCCCCCTTTGTTGCATGGTGGTGGCGGCTGATACTGGTTTTGGATTGTTCTTTATTGTCGTGATCCAGTCATTAACGGTGTCGTCCAGTACACTCAGTGGCATAGCACCATTTGTCAGAACGACGGAATGGAAGTCGCGGATATCAAACAATGAACCTGGTTACAGAAACAACATTAGTTGAACAGTGAATCAGGAATCCATGTATAATATGTTTACAATAAAATGCTTATTTCTCGTCCATTCCATTTTCTTAACTGTGCAATATCTTATTACAGATATAAACTTAGGATTCGTATTCTGAAGGTCCAGGTTTCAATATGTATTTCAAAGTCAAATCGTTTGAAAGTTTGTCCAGGCTATCATTCTGAACGGCTGAATATAGTATTTAGGCACGCTTAACAAAGTGACGATGGAAAATCATTAACTCTAATGTCTTCAGTTTGGTAAGCCGAAATACAAACTTTGTCAAGATACTCGAAACCTAACCCTTACAAGAAGATGATTTATTTTCAACCTTTTTGATTAATTAATTATATTCGTTTACAAAATGATATGTACATTTTATAATTTTCAAAATGTGTAGTTTACTATCAATAAAATATGTCAGTATTATGGGAGGTTATGAAAACATCTAACAGATTATTTAGACCAGTTTAAAAAATAAAATTAATGTCTTTATTCTTGGTAACAATGTTTAACAGTTAACTTAAAACGCTACTGTTTTACCTACCCAGTTCAGATTCTGCTTTCCTTCTGAGCTCTCTTATACGAATTTCTCCGATCTTGTAAGCACATGCCTGTCCCGGCCAGGTTATGTACCGGTTAACCTCTATAGTTATAGCTTCGCGTGAAAAGGAGGTGTAGTTCAACATGTATTCAACAGCTCTTTGCTGCTCCCAACTGAAAAAGAAAATCAATCCATGCTATTTATTTTGTATCTAGAAATGATAAAACTTGCACGTAACACTATCTACATTTATGTATCTAGACTCGTTTTCGTTTCAGATGCAACAATCTTAAACACAACACCAGCTGATTAATACATGTATCTGCATGGATTTGTTTTCATTTCATAGGCTACAATCTTAAACAGGGCACTAGCTGCTTTGACTCGTTTTCATTCCTTACGTTTTAATCGTAAAACATAGCACTAGTTACATGTACTTGTTTTCATTTCACAACCTTCAATCTTAGATATAGCACTAGTTACTTGTCCTCGTTTTCATTTCGAATACTTCAATTTCAAACATGCCACTAGCTGTTTGGACTCATGTTCGTTTAGGATGCTTCAATCTTAAATACAGCACTTGATGCTTGTACTCGTATTCATTTTGGATGCTTCAATTTCAAATATAGCAGTAGCTGCTTGGACTCGCTTCGTTCACTGTCATTTATATTTCAATAACACTAACTGTGTTTTGTTCGTTTTAAGAAAATCCCAAATTTGATTTGAAAAAAAAAATCACCATCGATATAAGGTGGGGGCTTAAACATTGTACGTTCAATGTATATACCGTTGCATATGTAAGATGTTTGCTTACAACCCGATACAAAACAGGGATTATATATTTTTAGGGAATATCTTCATTCATTGATTCCTTAACGAGTATTTGCGATTACGAAAGAAGGTTGGACCAACGTCATTGTTATTTACTTACTCTTTGCTTAATATTTATTTTTGTGATATATTAAATTGCCATCTTATATTTCCGATTATCAATTCATGAATGTAAAATCTCCAAAAATGTAGGCGAAATTCAATATATAATACAAGGAACATGTACGATACTTTACGTTAAATACGTGTGCTCGTTATGACAAAGGCATACAGGGTTTTGAAACATGTAGTGTATCCCTTACAAATGAGTAGTCAGTTCAAATACTGTAATTCAAATGTAGTAAAAAAGACTTACTTGAAGTGATGTAGACCAGTATCGACAACCAGACGACAGGCTCGAAGCATTTCCGCGCTGTATCGACCCATCCTGACAAAGAAAACAAATTGCTGGTAATTATTCAACCCAGTCACTAGATAACACATTTGTACGGTATTTGGTATTGTATAACGATATCAAATGGGTATTCCCGTACCACTGCCAAAAAATGTAGCTACGCATTTTCCGGTATGACTATAGCTTTGATAAATCATATATGAAAAACAAACCATACTGCCCTCGGCTTCTAAGGAAAATAATAAAGATGAAATAAACAAAATATTTTCAACAACAATGTTGTGAATATGTTGTAATTCAGCGTCAGACCGGAACTAGAACCCGTAAACCATGGAACCCTGGACGAAATTAAGAAGAGGATACTTTGTACACGCAAAAAAAACACAATACGGAGGGACTGGGACCCTTAATGTGCAATATGTTAGTTTAAGTATAAAAAATGATCTGTTCGATTGTATTATGTGCACATACATTTTACGATATTGAACAAGATCTTTATACATAGCAATCGTAGTTTCAACAGTAGACTAACAAAACCAAGACAAAACATTTAAGACATGCTTTGTGTCAAGACGTATGGAGTAAGAACACTGCATTCTTCATTTGAGAAAAGCAAGTATTTTTCAGGAGTGAAATAATAATAACAACTTGATACCGTTTTAGATCGCAGGTGAATTTGAAGAGGGTACATGAGATACAGGAAACTGTTACCCTCCCAGAGCACTTGCATGATTTCGACATGTGATTTTGTGAGTATTACAGATGTATCAACCTTTGTTTTGCATTTTTTTCCATGCGTATCGGTGCCATTTTGTGTATCTGTGAGTTGGCTCAGCTTTATGTAGGATATGATGTGTTGACGATATCGGCTTTGTGGGTTGACGCTGCCTTTTATAGATCGTGCTTGTGTGTTACTTCAGCGGTATACATCATGTGTATTGGCGCATCGGTATATGTCATATGTATGAATACGGTACGTGTTTGCTGACGCTGCCTCTTTTATATACTGTATACAGAGAAATTTTCGCCAAGTCAAATTTTCGCTAACGTCCATGAAATCATTTTCGCCCAGAGATGATTTCGCCCTTCACATTCAAATTCTATTTATGCTACATTTTATGCTGTTTTCTAATCTGTAATAATGAATTCACATTCATTACGGAGGGAGAAAAGAGTGAAAGTTAAACTGCAGCGCAAATTCCCCGGTATACACTTTTGGTATGACTAAGGTGTTTACGCAGCGTTATATATCCTATGTGTATATTGACATTGTTGTATGTATGGTACTCATGTGTCGATCGATTGTGCGGCTTTCATCACATGTGTTGATGCATCGGTATACATCTATGTGTTTATTAACATGTATCGTATTATTATGTAAATACGCTGAGTCTATATCTGAAATGTGTTCGTGCTGCGGTTTAAATCGTACTTTGTGATGCTTCTTTGGGGCAGTATATATATAAATCATAATTTTGTGTCGATACAGCAATATAATATTATATCTGCCTGATATGTTGACACAGAAGTTCATTATTATGAATTTAGACTTTTGGTGAGGCGAATATGTGGTTATATTACCCGAGAAAGTCAAATTGACCGGGACAACGTCGATGTTAATATAACTATTACAAGCCTATGACGTCATAACGTTAATATTAATCTGTTATTTCTAAAAAAAGTAAGGCCGATTCAATTTCATCCATCAGCGTGAAAATTATCCATCCAATGATGTTGTAGGAAAAAATATGCGATATGTAACATTATATACTTATTGACGTTGCGATATTTATTTTACTAATGTGATGATGATATGGTGCAATTATTTTTGTTGTATTGGGACTCCGGTATGGATTTTCTTTGTGTCACCTTTTAAGTTTCTATATTGGAAACTTACAGTTCATAGTCATCCTTATAAAGTCCCATTTCCACACCGAGGTACTCGGCATACAACGCCCATCCCTAAACAACAAAATGAAAAAGCCTTTAAATTCATTACATGTTCTCCAGTGAGATATAAAAGTCCATCAATTTGATAAAACTTATATTATTTTCACTCACTTTAACAATTCATTTTGGTTCTGACCAATAAAAACGATTCTTTAAATTTACTGCATTTGAAGCCGTTTAACTGTAATATAAGTGGATGTTTTGGTACATATTTGTTACACACACTATGCTATTTATTTAACAACATAATTGATAACATAATAGTTTTCTTGTTAAATAATTTTATATTGGAGTCATTTGGCTTGATATATCGATGTTTTCTCTCATGCTTCGCACTCGTGTAACGTGCTTGTATTCAGTCACTCTAATGAGATAAGTATTATCTTATTCAATGGGAAATGAAATATTATCTATGCATCTAATTGGTGAAAATGATTTACATTAAAAGAAATCAGATATAACCATCGAAAATAGAATAATACTTACCGTGAAGACATATATGGAACACGACAAAGATATACTGATGCAAGGGACGAAGTAGAAAAGACAATTTAAGAAGGAAAATCCGAACGATAATTATAAGAATTACCCGCATATGAGTTATAGATAATAAGTGTATCTTACCTCAACGTAAGCAGTATAGAAAGGGAAATAGAAAGGAACGTCAAAAAAGGAAAGTTCTGGTTGTCGTCGATAATCTGGCAAGTCAGCTCTCATGCCATAGATGTGCTGAACATAAAACAATAGATGCATGACAACCTTACTTCTGTAAAGGAATTGTGAAAAGTGACATTATGACGGAGCTTTATTCAACCCACTAATACATCAAGTATCTTAATGCACTAAATTACATGAAACATAAACATTGCATGCTTAATGCATCATTTATTGAAGGTGTAGTATTCCCTTATCGCAGTAACTCAGGGTATGTACTATTGATGCATTAAGCATGCACATGTAGATGCTGCGTATATGCTCATTGTTATTTTTATGACATTAGACACGTTGATGCATTAGGGGTTCTAACAGAGCTTAATATGAAAGATATACCGAAACAATATAACTTTTGATAAAACATATGCTCAACCAGGTTATTTAACTCATTAAGAAAAAACAAATAAAAACAAAAATTATATTATTTTTGTGTGTGTGTGAAAATGGCAAATAATAGAAAATATACTAATCAATGTTACTCTAGCCCAAATGAAATATGTGCCATACGCTGTTAGTCGTTTACCTGGAGATGGTGTCCAGGGCTGGCTTCATGTAAAGCTAGGTTCATAAATTCGTAAGTAGGGCTACAAATTAAAGTTAATAAATTTATACAATGGTACGCTCTGTACGGAAAAAACGGTAATTGTAGATATGCTTAACTAAACAAGTAAGTTTTCTTTAAGGAAAGTTAAAACAGGCAGTAACTACTATACATAGGTGGTAGCTATTGACAGAAAGACTCTATCGATTAGGTGTGTCTGCATGTAAACATATTGAAGGATCACAACACATTACACAAATTAACAGCAAGATGTTATTGTGTTTTCATCTCAGTAGGCAATGAAGCCTGCTACTACATGTTAGTACGTTTGATGTTATACAGCTTATGTTATACATGTTTACTGAGAGGCAAATATTATCGAACTGGCTTACATAATATTTATAAATACTCCTAAACATTTCAGTAAATTGCATGTTAATTTGTTTTTCTGCCGTTTGTTATTAGCAAAGGGCTCAGTTATACAAAGAGGATCTTTGCTCCTACCCTTTTAAGCTATACATTGATATTTGTTGAGATAAAAATATATTATATCAATCAAGCTGAGTATATGACAATACAGTGGTATTACACTAATACGCATTTAATGCCAGTTAGTACACCTGTTTATTTTTTCCGCTTAAAATCTACAGTGCTTTTATATGCACTTTATCAAAAATGTACACTCAAGACTATGGACCAGCTTTGGAAATATGCTTCTTCTTTGTGTGGTTAAAAGGTCGAAGTTTCTTATTAAACTTAATATGAAAAGGCAAAGCCTTAAAAGAATGTAGCTTTTGTTGGTCTCTGATATTTACTGATTCAGAATACAGCTTTCAGAATGAGTTTTTCAGATAAGATAAACTTTATTTAAAGTCGGCAAGTCGAGGAATAACAATAAAACACAAGCTCTAATGAGATTAAAACCGACATAACAATAGGGGAGATCGGGGTAAGTTCGGCCATTTTTTTCCGGCGAAGTTGCATGCCTGTTAGTATAACATTTTATGTGAAACACAATTGTCTTTGCTTCAAGGATACACTTCCGGTTTCCCGACTGGACGTCTACTTTCGGACGGAAAAAAAGAAAGGCAACGTGTAGCAAGGGAAATCAATCCTGTTTACGCACGCATGTGTTACGACCATGCTCTTATTCCGTCTTTGCGTATTGCAGAGTTATCTTTTCTTGAAAACAGGTATTGATTATTACGTCATTGGTTTGTGAGGGTAACGTCATCAATTTTTGAGAAAATGACGTAATTTTCTCACACAAACTAATGACGTAACAATCAATACCTGTTCTCAAGAGAAGATAACTCTGCAATACGCAAAGACGGAATAAGAGTACCTTGTGGTTTTGGTTGTTGTTACACGTAGTTCTCGATATGAGGACGTGACATTACTTGGATTCGACTTCGATTTAGGAGGTGGGTGTACCCTTGACTTTTCCAATGGTCTCAATGTAAGCCTTACCTTTGTTCCTATTTTGTCCTAGTTTTATTGATTTAGAGTTCGAGTTATGGTTGTGTTGACACTTTCTCTTGTTGAATTGTCTGATAATTATTATTTTGTGTTCGTAAATACTCTTATTTTAAATTAAACTTTAAAACTACCAAATTTATAACCGTTATTCTATAATTGCATCATATAAAATATGTAAAACATTATTGTTTCTGAATTACACTGATGGACATTGTACCGTTTGGCATTGGTAATTCTTTCTTACTTTTCCTTTGGTCGGAATAGGTTGACATAAAAGACTCCTGGGTATTCCTCTGTGGCAGACCCGTAACCTCCTGCTGGGCCGTCATACGACAGCTTCACCACCCTAGGTATGAAACAAGACTTTTAAGTATTTAAACAGTTTTGTAAAGATTTTAAAACAATTTCTAAAATGAACCTGTACAATCTCTTATTTTGTAAATGTGTGATTTTGAATATACATTGTCATGTCCTTGTATATCATATCTCTCGGTTTTTCTGTGTTTGTATATAACTCCCTTTGTCTTTCTACATAAGTTTTTCCCTTTGTTTTGTAAATGTATTGATGTTCATATATGTTTGTTTATGTCCTTGCATATTATGCCTCTCTGTTTCTGTGTCGTTATTTATCGATCTTGTTGCCTTTTAGGTATCTCCGTGGAAGTTTCTCCTTCTCTAAGGTTTTCCCCTAATATCTTTCAATACTTACTTACCTGTTGACGTTTTGGTGATAAATACATCCAAATAAGAAGAAAAAAATAAAGAAAACTTCTCTTACTTACACAATAGGTATGTCCGGGATATTCTTGAAAAATAATGGCAGTTTCGGTTTTATTCTGTCGTGGATGATGTTTTCATATTCTGCAAGGATTCGGTCCTGTAAAAGCCGGAGGGAATTAAAAGCGATGAGACGAAAGACGATGGACAGAGAATAAATATGTAACGACCTTACAAAAAACCACATATCGTTTGTTTCATATTTTACTATTTGAAGTTTATCTATAATACGTTGTAGCGTGTAAGGAATTCGTTATTCTATTAATGCAAAATATATTATTTTTTAATATTTAAAATGAGGAAAACTTCTTCCCTGCAATGTCGTTCCAAATCAAGAACATCAAAAAACATTTCTGTATGAAGGTATTGTTACTGACATATATTTGTTTAAAATTGAGTGCAGGTACACTAGTCACATTTTATTAATATCCGATATACTAGGATATAGCTGTATCGAGATGTAATGCCTCATATTTCGCATGGACTATAGCCCGAATGAAATACCATTTCGCAAACTATGCACATGTATATGTGATATTGCTTTAAAACATACCTACATTTTTTTTTTAAATTTTTGAGCATCATTTCCTCACGTTAATGTTCAAATTGCTTCCTGAAGCTTAAACCGATAATGCGTGGGGGATAATGATATGACGTTGCCGTAGAGTTAAGTGGCGACTAAATGTTCTGAACACATTTTTATTTTTATTCCTTGATTCGAATTAGTTCCAATCAGGAAGGATTTCTCTGGCAACTTGGATAATAAAATATTTTATTTTATCTCAGGGTAAACTACATGACATTGTATTGCATGACATCTACAAACTGGCTGTATCACTATAGTAATCCGCCCAAGGTATGGCATAACATACAGTATGGATAAATACAAACTCTTCATAAACTAATATCATTAACACCACATATATAGACAAACAATATATATAGTTGAGGATACAACACAAATATCAAACAACATCGTATTGATAACTTTAATCACAAAAACAGTTTATTATATACAATATACAAATGTACGTGTACGTACCGCATCATCCCATACAAATCTTGAGTCGTTATTCAGGGCTGCAAAATATTCCTTTACAGTCCCGTCGAAATTTTGTCTTGTCATCACCTGCAGCAAAACAAGAGTTTGTTTAAGCTATACATTAGAAATTAAAGGAACCATTATATTTCAAATTTTAGTATTTTGACGCAAAAAGTCAAAGAAAGCAATGTTTTGCTGCATCATATATCAATTTCGCCCATTAAGACTCCTCAGCAGTATTGTAGTTCACAAGAATAAAATGCTATATCCTCAATGTTCCGAATAATATAGAAATATTGGTAAGGGGTGACACTATCTTTATATGGGAAAGTACCAATATATATATTTTAAGTAATTCGTATCCTACGGACATACCTCCATTAGGATCCAGTGTTATATGGGATTTTACCGTCTATATTACTTTTTTGACCCATTTATATATATATAGTAGATAATAAATAAACAAATCATTGCGAAGGAAAATATAGAATACAAACATAAATCTGTCAGACCTTCCGCTAGGCGTTTCTGCCTTCTAGTGGTTCTTCAGGCGGATTGGTGTGTATTTATTACAATTGGTTACATGACGTCATAAATATTTGCATAGTCAACAATTTTAGTAACGTCATCAATAAACAAGCATAGTGACGTCACAAACAATACCAGGACAAAGAAAACATCTACATACAAAACATTTAAAAGTCATTGTGTATGCAAGCTTGGTTTGAGGGCTTTTATAAAAAAAAAAACACCTTTGAATTATCTTGCAACTACATCGTCGCTATTATATATATGCTCCTGTACGCTGGTAACTTGACGAATATAAATATATCGATATTCTTGCAGACAGCACAAACTTCATGTCGTACTATCAATTCTTTAAATATTTATTGAATTTGTATTTTTTTTTAAATCTAAAACATATCTAAAAACTAGAAATATGTCAGAATGACATGCAAGTCACCCCATCATTCTGTATGATCATTTTCCGATAAATCATTGACCAATCTACAACGGATATATTTCCACCTGTCAATCAAAATGGTTAACAATTACCAGGTGGAAGTACATACATGCTGTTAAGGTAGCCATGCCAACACATGGAATTAATAAGAAAGCATGTCGCAAATATAACGTTAGCGTTGACTGACACCTCGAATACGGGGAGATCTGCGCGCTGACACGGTCACCTGGCATGGGCAGAACAGGTTATTGGAATATAACTATCTTGTTTTCAAAACAATAAGTTTCAGAAAAGATTCAATCTTATTTACGGATAAATCTGTTACTTCTTTTTTGTTATGAAATACACTTTTCCACGTAGTTTTTTGATCGTCTGCAAATCCGACTGAATCGGTCATCGATATCGGCAGCATGTGTACGCTTAAAGGCAGTAACTCAAACAGGTCCGACGAGGACCGCCAACAGCCGAATTCGCGGGACACGAAGAACACCAAATAATTGCGATTTCAGCAATTCTCATTGGAAAAGAAAAGATTTGAATGTATTAGGCTGTTTTGAACCCGTTAATATTTATTTTTCAAACTCAAACTTTTATCGTTATCGGTTCAATTCGCATGGATGTCACCTTGTAAATTCCTGCCGGTTAAATGAATCACGCGACCTTGACTTTTTGCGGTACACAAACGTGCTTACTTCGCCACTTTACCCATGTCGTTTTGACACATTCCTACTGTCAAGACCGAAGAGTTCAGCATCATTTTACCAAAGTACGACATTTTAACCACAGAGTGATAAATGCGATGCAATTCTTCGTTATGTTCCCCCGATACGTGGTATTTATCAATTCACAACGTAACGTCCTGAAAAGCTGGGCATACTTTACTCGCGTTTATTTATCCGATTCTATCGTATAATATGACATAAACTTGAATTTTTTCGTAATTGTTAAATTGGCAATGCAATCAGGGATTATTCAACGAAATTTAAAAGTTTTATTGCTGCGAGCATATTTCAAAACATTTCCGAAACTCCTCGAAAAAAATATGAGATACGGTCGCGACCAAGGACTGGTTTTAGATTGTTCTTGAGTATCGTGTACTCCCCTTTCTTGACTTCATTTTTTCTTAAAAAAGTGCACACTATACGCAAAGATTAACGGTAGACGTCGGTGAGACATAAAAAATCAAAATCAGTTAATAGCAATTTATAATACGAGAGTTAACCCCTTCGGGAACCTCAAAGGTGCCTGATTTATACTCGGAATATCTTTAGGAAATATGTAATCCCCGTGGAAGATTTGATATGACAACTTTGTTTGAGATATATGGAAACAGACAGTTATAATTATGCACGAGTAATTTTATGATACACATTTGCAGTTGAAATGAAAAAAGGGGAACAAATATTGAACAGTTTGAGTGTATAGATTTAATTCAATTGAATATTTGTAGCGGAGACACCTTAGCAAAATTCCGGTATGGTGCTTGGCATGCTTATCTTTCCTGAGACCACAGTTTTGCATTAAGAGTTTTGATGTCTCTTAGCATTCGATTGCTATCTTTACATGGTCACATTGGGTTCCAGTGTTTTCTTAATTGCATTTAAAAACAATCAAAATAAAATGACCTGGAGAGGTAGCCTTTATGTTCGGGAACTACTGCCAAATGGGGTAATATGAATACATATCTTAGAGATGAAAAGTGATCACTGTTAAAACAACACTCACTGTTTGCATATTTTTATAGATCCTGTCAACCTCCTGCAGACCAAGAGTGTGGACTTCCTCGGGTGACATGTCAACTGACAGATGCCACTTTAGACATGCTCTGTAGAAATCGGTTCCATTCGCTAGAGTGTTGACTCCTATTCCGGGTCTAGTGTTCAGCATGTAGACCTGTTGTTAATCAAACAATATCATTTTATAACACGTCTACAGAATATTTTTTCATTATTAAAAACAACAAAAATGATTATGGCCTTTAAATATCATTTCTGAAAAGAAATCCATACCTTGTGGGAATTTTACAAAAAAGAAATGTCAATGAAATAAACAGTTTGTGACTAGTGTAAAATTAAGCGGGGCTAGACCATGCTTTGAACAATTGGCCTCAGACTGATATTCTGTCGCTTTAACCAGCTGAGCTAACTGATCAACGGAACTATATCGGTCCATGTTGTACAGGTTTTATCCAAAACGAAATATATGAGGCGTCAATATATATACGAAAATTCACAGACAAATTCCCAAGCGTTTTGCCTGCAGTGGGATAGGGATCCTTAACAATTCTTGAAACTATTTAATAGCTACCTAGGCAGGTTTGATGTTGCTTATAGTCCATGTATACCATTATTTTCGCTGTTCAACAGACTGTTATATTGAACATATCTCGTGTGTTCCATAACGGATCCCCGTATCATTGCCATAAACTGTAAATACGCATTGGAATTTGTTTCCAAATTTGCTATAGCTTTGATAAATTATTCATGAACCATACCTTTAGAAACTTTAAATGAAACAAACAAAATATAATCAACAATAGAGGCTTGAGTTTAAACCTTCAGTAGGGTTAGACCGGTATTCGAACCCTGAACTCTTCACTTTGTTATGCTACCGATATAACCGTCTTAGTTACCTGGTCTACGGAAGTATCATGGAACGATTATTCTACAGTTGTATCCAAAACAAAATTAAGGGTTAGTTTCTGTACATACAGAAAAGCACAGTGCAGTTGGACAGCGATCTTTTAAAGGATTTGTGGTATACAACATACATTTTGTATATAATCCTTTAAATCTGCATATGCCTGATTAACTGCCTGGACAGCCGAAGCTCCCCTCGCTCGTAGGTCCTGCCTGAAATGTACAACAATCAAATATAACGTACATAATGTAAGTGAGTATTTAATTTGTATACACTGTAAAACACTATAGGGTCTGTAGTCAAGCCAACTTTTTTAACACATTTAAATCATATTACATGGTCACGAAGTCAGGTTTAAACGTTAAAAACAGTATTTGGCTTAAAGACTCTCCATATGTATTCCATAAAGTAACGAAGGGAACAAGAAATTTTGCTTATATAAGTATAAGTACAGAGTCGAAGTTTGAGCATGTAAAAGGTTTAATGAATATGTAAAGTATGAATAAAGACTCTCCATATGTATTCCATAAAGTTATGAAGGGAAAAAGACATTCTGCTTACATTAGTATTAGTACAGAGTCTAAGTTTGAGCATGTGAACGGTTTCATGAACACAGGCACGAATGTTTTGAATTTTAAACGTTGTACCAACACATACTGGACTAACCCTAACCCTAACCCTAACACTGGAATAATATGTATCACGTCCCAATGTTTTAGTTACACGTGCACAGAATGGATCACTAATTTTTGTGTTTGCTCATGGAAAATGCAAAGAATGAACGATTTTCATTTGTGATTCTATCAATGGAAAAACGTTATCTCACAAAAAAAATGCATCACTTAAGAGTCATGTGAGATATACTATAGCAAGTAGAACACTCTGACCACCTTAATGAGCGTTTCAGGTGTTTTATAAATACATGTTTATAAAACGAATTTTGCTGCTGTATGTTCATGATCTTTAGAAATGTGCATTTATATAACTGTTTCTGTTTTCCGAATTTATCTCTGTGGTCTGGAACACATAAACCCATTTATTATTTTACTTGACACAATGCTAACAAATAAATAATATATCCCTGGGTATGGATTTTCCCTTCTGAGGATAGTCGGCTTAAGCCAAAAGTGTTTCATGATTTAGCATTCTTATGCCACATCATTATTAAGCATGCATTGTAGACACGTGTAAATTTTGAATTATGCTTGTGAAAAGGGATTCGTACAGTGAATGTTACTGATCTAAATTGGAGCCTTTCCCCATTTCGAGAAAATTGTGACACACCTCAATGAAATAATTGAAAGATCCTCGGGTAATAAATTTCTCTGTCATACCATTAACCCTTTGACCCCTATGCAACTTTAGTAAACTCTACCATGCATTGATATGGATGCTTCCATTATGGAGAAAGGGTTAAGGTAGGCGAAGAACAGATTAGCCTATATCACCCAAAAGATAAATAACTCAATATTATGAGAAAAACATCGTCTACCATTCCGTGTTAGAAATACCTTATCCTAATTACTGGTGTAACCATTGATGTTAATGAACATTTTAAGTACAGTGTATCATGACACAGCTATATAGACATACTTATCTGTTTCTGAAATGTACTCGGTAGCATTAAGTTTATCTTTGAAGTGACGATAGAAGTAAGAATCCTCTGTGTCGTTGACGAGAAGTTGTTCGATCTGACCCGGAACTGGTTCCTACAATCACATAAGTATTCATATCGATAGCGACTTAGAAATAGTACAACTATAGGATGAAGACTATGTAGGTGTTTTCCATAAGATTTATGAAGGAGCCAAATATATCATTTAAATTGTTCAAACAACTTTTATAGAATATAATGTATATGTGTGTATGTATGTGTGTGTGGTGATGGTAGAATGGCGAATTGAAGTAAGCGTAACTCCAAAATAACATAGCATATTGTTCTTGGTCGGAAATAAAGGTTGTTATCGTTTTTTATGTGGATCTTGAAGTAATATATTGATGAACTAAAGTAAAGATACACGTAAAAATGAAGCAAAATTCCTACATCAATATTACAGTATTACCACCAACAAAAAATATGTAGTTAGTACATATATTTTTAAACATATCTGATCCTTCAAAATGGTCTTTTTTGATCATATAAATGTTTCACTTAATAACTTACAATGGACAATCGGTTGAGCGTCCGGTTCAGTTCAATGGCTTTATTAAAGGTGTCCATTACATCTTGGATCTGCAAAACAATGAAAATGCAGGTTTATATTTATCAGAGTCAGTTGTGCGAATATTGATTGTATTTGTGATACAAAGTTTCAAATTAATCATTCATGAATCAACCGGTTGATCTGTCAAATGTCGGGTGGAAGAAGACTAATGCTTGATTCAGAGATAAGACGTGGAAAAGTATTGGGACTCCTTCCTGACTACGTGGGTTTTTCTCCAGGTATTTCAGTACATCCAACCTAAACATTCCATGCGCGCTTCTAATAAGTTGGAAAATCTTGTTTCATATTTGTTGTAAAATTAATAAAATGTATTATTACTATCGCCATCAGTCAGCATATGAAGTCATTTAAATAGAGGACTGTGAGTTGATTATCATCTACAGCACATTAAATAAAGATTTCTATTTCATATCTTGTGGAAATTGTAAGCATTTCCTAAGAGAACCGTACTCAAAGGAACCAGTTGGAAAATAGTGTACTGTTTGTGTTTAATAAGGCCTACATGTACACCCTACAAATTTGTGTGACCACAAAAAATATGTCAGACGACGTGCAAAGCTTTGATTTGTTTTATTTACTCTCGTTGCTTTACTTGTCGTCGTGTTTCTCCTGCTCCCGTAAAAACATGTTTACAATGTAAAACATTCATAAACGTGTCGTAGATGACGCAAAAGATGCTTACCCCTCAGGAACACCTGGCCGTGTTTTTACTTTGTAAACTTTTAACGGTTTCTGTGGAAATAACCTCTTTCTTCATTTCTTGCCATTGTTTCTATGATTTGTAGTTACAACAACAAATTTGTTTCGTATTTGTTGTATTAACTAGCTTTCTTTTTATGTCATTGATTGTTCGACTTCTATACAAACAGACAAACAAACAAACAAACAAACACTCAGAAAATCAAACAACAAGTCAACTTACTAGATTGGGGATTCCCTTTAACCTTACGATGTAATTCTCGAAGTCGCCTCTCGTGCTGGTGGACGCCATAGATAAAGGATAGTACAGCTGAATTCCTCCTAGGAAATTCATAGGATTGATAGCACTGTATCTGAAAATAGAAATCACAACTCCAATACCCTACATCATGTCTCACAGCATACTATCTCTTATTTCATCAAAGAAAACGTCATTATATGGACACCATGAGCATTTTTATGATGCTTCGATGAAAACATTTATGACTGTGATATACAGAATCTTTGGAGTGCCATATGTCAAACACACGAATTGCATGAATCATATGACCGGAAGATTGTATTTTTTATTTATTTTTCGTCTTGCAATCTTTTGTTCAATATATGCGTAACGGTTCCTATTTTTAGCTGAAGCCGAATGGCAGATTATTTCAGTGCAATATTGCCGTTCAATAAAAACGGTATAGCACACGTACAACAAAAATGCAATTGAGTCTTATCACCGTGGATATCAGGTCATATTCCTACGCACTACAACCTCTGTAAACAAAATGGCTGACCTAGTTACCGGATATACTGTTTGCATTGATGGCGGAGACAGGGGCATTACGATATTTGTCATCCATGAACAGCTATTTTCACCACAATACAAATCAACACAGATTGAGTTTGCTCCCAGTTGAACTTGTAGAGACATTTTAAGGATTATGGGCGCATTTCGATTACATACACCACCTGTTATCTTGAATATTTCTATAGAATCACTTCTTGCATTTTTGAAGATAAGAGAAATCAGTTATAGTCTTTTAAACCGCTCCGGATATGACAAATCTCTAAACCTCGGTATTTCTTTGGTTTCTCTTCTTTGCATCCGTTCCAACATGTCAATGATATCAACCTTATATCGGTACCCTGCATTGTTTTGCATATAGAAATTAACACTTACAGGAATTTTATATATTGCTAGGAAAGCAAGTTCGTTGGTTGACAGTGAATAGTGAATTTGCGTTTTTAACCTGCGCACTTATTTGATCCTCAAATATCAGGCATTCTCTACAGTCACTCCATCATCCTTCTCATTGCATATCTCTTCTAGAGCTTCATTACCAAAGCAATATCTTTGTTTCTGTCATTGCCAGACAGATCTACATGGATTTATATTTTCCAAAATGTTATCTCAAAAACCATTCCTGTTATATCCTTTCGAAAAGAGTCTATATCTTCAAATCCACTTATCAGATTTGCAGTTGATGCATCCCTTTCATACTGATGTGTACCACTTTTAAAAAATCATTTTTACATTATTGACTAAGTAAATGTAAGATTTTTATTTCTGTAGTTGCAATAATACATTTTATAATTACTTTTGATGTATATTAGACAAACAAATATTTGTGTTTGTGAGGGTGGGTTTTTTTTCTTTTCATATATTTCATTCTTTAATCAGATTGACTTTTTAAAATGATTTCCTGCTGTGATGCATAATTCAACAAGTGTCTTTATTGAGAGCAGAAATTTGTACCGAGATACAATACCAGAGCACTCGCCAATCCTGAGATCTGAGGTACACCTTACAGAGTATTATAACAATATTTCAATCAAGTAAGTGTAGCCCACAGTTCTGGTCTTTATCAGTTTCTCACTCGTTTTATTGATTTATAACTTGTAAAAATATATATGATGAGTGTATATTGTAGACTAGAGAACGGTCAAATTACTGCAGCTAGATATAAAGCTATAAATCAATGTCATGTATATCATGGATTTACCGTGTTATTATTGAGACGACGTATGTACAAGCATAGATGTTGCTAAGACCGTGAGAAATAACATTTACATAATTCCCCATAACCTACATGTAGTAAATGTTGACCTGTTCATTTGATAGGATGTCATATTTGATTTTATAACATAATTATTATCCACTTAGCCATTGTCTATATTGATGTAACGTAACACGAACGATTTAAACCTTACTTAATGGAGGAGATCACGATAAATGTTAAGTTATTTATTTTTATTTATTATATGCTTGGTAGTTGGGTGGCACGGTGGATAATACACTCGCCTTTTACCAACACAGTCGGGGTTTGATTTCCCGATCGGACGTGAACAGGAATTGGGTCCCTGTCTGACTGCCTGGGTTGTCTCCGAATACATTGATTTCCTCCCTTATTGCGACGCCTGCGCGCTATCATCCGGGCCAGCAATTGCGAGACATTGTGATATAGGTTGTTATGACTTGTTTCAAAATTGTTGTAAAATAAATAAAGTGTATTATCGTTATTATTACTGCTTTGTTTTCCTGGATGCTCATAGTAGTCGTGATGCTTGTATTAATTGTTCATCTGGACGACTTTGAACAGGAACCAAATGGTTCAAACCTTATTAGATCAGCTGGTCGTTAACGGAAATGTTTGAAACGTGATGTTAACACCAAAATACATATAGTACATAAATTTTGAGGTTTTAGTCATAAATATGCTATTACATTGACCAAAGAAAAATAAATTGTCCTTGGCGATAGTCAAGATCAACATACACCTTTTTATTTGGTCAATAATACCGTATATTCCCCAAGTAAAACGTCCGTAAATGTTTATCATATAGAATTAATTCAATTTGAAGAAATTCAACTATCCAACCAACTTAAGCTATCGGCTTTAAATAGTACTGGTAGAATAGCTAAGACCATATATAGAGGGGGTGGTCGGAAGCGCAATGGTTAGCGCACTTACCTTTCACCCAGATGGCCGGTGTTCGATTCCCTAGTCAGACGTTAAGTACTTATTATTATGACAGTTGTCCGACCACATGGGTTTTCTCTAGATATTTCGGTTTACTCCCATATTTATTCCCTTTATATGCTACAATCCGGACAAACAAGAGTAGTAAATATAATTTGTAAAAACTTGTTTCATGAATTAGAAATAAATATAAGTCAATATCTGTTATATATAGAGATTACTTACAGTGCCCATTTGTGTCCTTCTAGGTACGACGCAAAAGTGTCCGCCAGAATATCATAATCCGCTTTTTGTATTGGAGTGAAGCTCGTGGTTGATACCGCTTGTAATCTAGCATTGAACGCCTCAATGTCATTCTGAAATGAAGTACATCACATTTGTAAAGATGATAATTTTCAGATTTATCCTGGGAGAGGGGGAATAGAAAATACCTAGAGATGAAAGTATTTAAACGATTTGTGTGCTATGAGAACGAAAACAAAAGTTCAGCACGATTAATTTAATTCCATAATAAAAAAGTAAGCGGAGGCTCAAATAGGCATACCCCCATACCTCCTCCTGATAACCCGTGATCTTTGACCTTTTAACCTTGGCAAATAAGGTGAAGAAGAAGATGTCTTCAGGTGCTCACGAGATATGCTGTACAAAAGCTTCTTACTTCAAAAATGAAATATTTGGCCCTGAGCTTTGACCCTTTAACCTTGACTGATGACCACCAAATTCGAATCTAATGTAGAACACGATATTGTCATCCTATGGTGTACATGACTGTTGTGTCCTGGGGTTTATGAGATATTATGTACAAAAACTTTTAACTACAGAAGGACCGACGCATGTCGCACACTCGGATGGACGCACTGACTAAGCTATTACTATGTACCCCCGTAATACGTGGTCGGGGGTGGTAAAACAGGAAACACATATATATCAGAAAGAAGCAACCTAAAATCAGATTGCTTCGTGAGGCCCAAGTTTCGTCGTTTTTTGACAAAATACAATTTCGAGGTTAGATGAATTCGTGGATTACGAATACTCAATCAAATGGATTTTATTATTGGTTATTATCACACTTGTAATTACTGTGTGAAGCTATGGATTCGTGGATGAAGATTACCCACGAAATCAACAAAGTTAAACATCCCCACGAAAATTAGTGACTTCACAGTAAGAAGTAAAGAATTATGATGAACGCATGTGAGTATTACATATGTAGCAATAAAATTGAAACATGCAATAAAGAAATAAAACACATGTTTAAAGAAGTAAGACCCGAACTGGACATCTAATTTGAACACCAACAGAAACGTATGACCTGAAAAGTAATTTGTTCACTGGCTGTTTTAATTATTATCAAAATTATCGAATTCATATCACTGCATCATGGAAGCAATTGCCCGATATGATACGCGCATGCGTGGCACGAGCTCATGAATATAACATGAGTAGTAAGAGAGCATCATTAACAACCCTGCATGGCCTTAACAAGATTCCTTTGTGAGTGTTTACTTTTTACATCCTTACCTTCCTTTTGTCAAAAATCGACATGTTAAATGATCGTAGTCTATCGTTGTAGTCGTGATAACCGAGATACGTGGCGTAATTTGGTGAATCAGCCATTCTCCATGTCCAAAACTCCTTCTCTAGACTAGTTACTGTGCTGTACTGACCTGGCAACATGTGACCAATCAAATAATTAGCACAGAACTTATATCACTCTAAATACATTACTGTTCAATGTTATCTCATATTCTAAGATAATTTATTTTATTCATAGGAAAACAAAAGGTTTAATACAAAAACCCTTTTCAACGATCCTCTCCCACATTCTCTTATTTGCATTAGCACTGTACATACTTGAAATCAATTTTGCATGAATTTGAAACACATCCTAATGAGCAAACAAATAAACTGTAAATAAGCAACATTCGCAACATGTTAAATAAACTATGACAGTAATCTGATGTTTGAACAAAGATTTGTTGCTCACATTGGGATAAAAAACAAATTAAAACTTTAGATAAGCTTAACATCTTTTCTTAAATGAATGCAAACCTTGAATGTTTCAAGTTTACATTGTGCAAAGATACATTATTAAATATCATTAATATACATAAGAGTACTATTATAGCAGGTTCCATGATATTGTTTATTAATTGTCTCATCAATTTCAATTAGGTGAACTATATAACGACCTATTATAAGAGCAGCAGGAAACAAACTCGATAGCTGTACCATGTAACGATGTTTTATAAAAATGTACAGAAAACTCCACTTCATAGCTGAAATATAAAACGATAGATTGCAACAGTGTACAGAAACACCCATTCCATAGCTGTACCAAAGAACGATAGATTGCAACAGTGTACAGAAACACCCACTCCATAGCTGTACCAAAGAACGATAGATTACAATAGTGTACAGAAACACCCACTCCTTAGCTGTACCATAGAACGATTGATAACAACACTGTACAGAAACGCCCACTCCATAGCTGTACCATAGAACGATTGATTACAACACTGTACAGAAATGCCCACTCCATAGCTGTACCATAGAACGATATATTACAACAGTGTACAGAAAACTCCACTCCATAGCTGTACCATGGAACGATATATTACAACAGTGTACAGAAACACCCACTCCATAGCTGTATTATAGAACGATATATTACAACAGTGTACAGAAACACCCAATCCATAGCTGTACCATAGAACGATTTATTACTACAGTGTACAGAAAACTCCACTCCATAGCTGTACCATAGAACGATTGATTACAACAGTGTACAGAAAACTCCACTCCATAGGTGAAACATAGAATGATATATTGCAACAGTGTACAGAAACACCCACTCTAAAGCTAAAACATAGAACGATATATTACAACAGTGTAAAGAAAAAAATCCTAACCATAGCTGTACCACAGAACATTAGATTACAACAGTGTACAGAAACACCCAACCCCATAGCTGTAACATAGAAGGATATATTACTACAGT